AGGACGGACAGGTCAAGTTGGCGGGATGAGGTTGGTCGGTAGGAGATGGAGGTGCGGCTTGAGGTGGGAGGAGGGGATAGGTGGGAGGAAGAACAGGTTAGGGAGGCAGGGACGAGCTGGACTGGTTTTGGGATGCGGTAGGGGGAGGGGAGATTTTGAAACTTGTGAAGTCCACATTGATACCATTGGGCTGCAGGGTTCCCAAGCGGAATATGAGTTGCTGTTCCTGCAACCTTTGGGTGGCATCGTTGTGGCACTGCAGGAGGCCCAGCGTCTAGTTTTTGACCTGACGACCGGAACATTTCAGGAATCTCTCAGTTACTTGGCACCTTTGCTGAGCTTTCTCATACATTTTTAATGTTGAAAAAGAAAACGGAGTGAAGGGAGGAAATTAGGAAATGGCAGCAATATTGAAATGGGAACAATATTCATGGGTGCAGGGAAGGGCACTAAGTCATGATGCTAATGCAGACCCGATGGGCTGAATGGCCTCCTTCTGCTCCATAAGACTTCTGTGATTCTGCATTGAACAAATATCATGTGTCTGTCTTCACTGTAAAAGACACAAGTTACATAACAGAAACAGGGGGAAACTCAATAAAAGTCAAGAAGTTAAAGGAATTGATATCAGCAAAAGTACTGGGATGCTCAAGAGACTAAAATTTAAGAAGCAAGAGACTTCAAGCACAGGCAGGTGGGACTAGTTTAGTTTGGGATTATGGTTGGCATGGACTGGTTGGACCGAAGGGTCTGTTTCCGTGCTGTATGACTCTTATAATTCACATGGGGAAATAAAGAAATAACTAGCCTGAAATCAATCAGAAGTCACACCACACCAGGTTATAGTCCAACAGGTTTATTTGGAATCACACAAGATTTCAGAGCACAGCCCCTTCATCAGGTGCAGTGAGAGAGCGGAGCACACAGACACAGAATTTATAGGCAGAGAGATCAAGGGCAGAGAGATCAAAAGATCATACAACTGGTGTGAGTGGAGAGTCAGATGATAAGCCTCTGCAGGTGACCAAGAGTGTTGGACGGTATGAGTAAAGTGTCAACAGCTGAATAACCAGTGAAGGGGTGACCTATAATCTGATTAAGTGAAGCAGAGAGATAATTACAAATAATTAAAAATAAGGTGGTGCTGGAGACAAACTAAATGACTGGAATCACATGCTGAATTCAAAACTGTGCAAACTAATTAAGGTACAGGGATCATAACAATTTATCAAGATGATGCTGTCAAAACAGGACAGTAAGGAACATTTTACAGACACAGAGCAGTGTGGTGGGGTCACCTGTGCTGCGACATGTACCCAAGATCCCAGTTGAGGCCATCCTCATGGGTACCAAACTTGGCTATCAGCCTCTGCTCAGCGACTCTGTGTTGTTGTGTATCCCAAAGTCTGCCTTGGAGGACATTTACCCAAAGATCTGAGGACGAATGTCCTTGACCGCTGAGGGAACATCCCTGTTTGGCAATTGCTGCGCGGTGTCCATTCATCCGTTGTCATAGCGTCTGCGTGGTTTCACCAATGTACCATGCCTCGGGGCATCCTTGCCTGCAGCGTATGAGATAGACAACGTTGGCCAAGTCACATGAGTATCTGCTGTGCACATGGTAGGTGGTGTTGCCATGTATGATGGAAGTGTCCATGTCGATCTGGCATGTCTTGCAGAGGTTGCACTGGCAGGGTTGTGTGGTGTTGTGGCTGATGTTCTCCTGAAGGCTGGGTGGTTTGCTGCAAACTGTTTAAGGTTTGTTAGTTGTTTGAAGGTGAGAAGTGGAGGTGTGGGGATGATCTTGGCAAGGTGCTCATCATCATCAATGACCTGTTGAAGGCTGCGAAGAACATGGCGTAGTTTCTCTGGTCTGGGGAAGTACTGGATGACAAAGTGTGCTCAATTGGTCATATCCTGTGTCCGTCTTCTGAGGAGGTCATTGTGGTTTTTCATTGTGGCACGTCAAACCTGGTGATCAATGAATTGAGCCTCGTATCCCGTTCTTATAAGGGTGTCCTTCAGCACCTTCAGGTGTCTGTCTCGTTCCTCCTCATTTGAGCAGATCGTGTAGTTGCTCTGGGCTTGTCCGTAGGGGATTGGCTTCTTTAATATGTTTAGGGTGGAAGCCTGAAATCAGTCTTGGGAAATTGCTGGAATCTACTCTTGAGGAACTCGTAATGATGCAATTAAGCAAACTTAGGATAATTAGATCAAATTAACATGGTTTTACAAAATGGAAATCCTGCCTGACGAATGCAACGCAGCTTCTCAAGGATGTAACCATTTGTGTAAAGAGAAAAGAAAGCCACAAGATGTAGTTTACAGGGATTTTCAAAAGACATTTAATAAGATTCACACAAGTGACTAATGCAAACATAAGGGGCTCATGGAATTTTTAATTCATGGGATGAGGGCATCGTGGACTCTGGACCACAGCAGGGCAGTGTCTGGATAAGAGTCAATGATTTAGGACTGAGATGAGGAGAATTTTCTTCACTCGAAGACTGAGAATCTTTGAAATTCATTGCCTCAGAAGTTAGTGAGGCGTTTATAGCTGTGTGAGGCATATTTGTATTCTCTTAGGAAACCAAGGGATAGGGGGAGCATGTCCGTAAGTGGAGAGGAAACCGAAAATCAATCCTGATCACATTGAATGGCAGAGGAGGCTCATTGGGTCAAATGGTTTCTGGATTTGATTTGATTTGATTTATTATTGAAAAGTTTTGTTTTGCATGCAGTACAGGCAGATCATACCATACATTGTGCATTAGGGTAATAGAACAGAACAAAGACTACAATGTTATAACTGCAGAGAAGGTGTGTAAAGAGTGAGATCAACATTAAAATTAAAATTTGAGAAGGCTACTGACAAAGGGGAAGAAGCTGTTCTTGAATCTGTTGGTACATTGTTTGAAACTTTTGTATCGTCTGCCGGACGGAAGAGGTTGGAAGAGATTTTACCCGGAGTGGGAGGGTCTTTATTATCCTATTTCTTATATTTCTGTATTCTTAGTGTAGGGCATGGCCCCCATTGAAAAGGATACAAGAGTCACAAAAGGATTTTGATAGACTGGATGAGAGGGTAATGCTTTGAAGATGGAGCTCAGTGTAATCAAGTATGAGATGATCCATTTTGGAACAAAAATTTATCAATCAGGGTAATTTCTAGATGGCATGAAGTTAAATACAGTGGATGTCCAAAGAGTCTTGGGGGTTCAGGTGAATCGATCGCTAAAATGTCACAAGCATGTGCAGAAAATAATCAAAAAAGCTAATGGAATGCCAGTCTTTATGATGAGAGGACTGGAATACAAGGATGCTCAAGCTATTCTGCAGCTGTACAAAACCCAAGTTAGACCCCCACCTGGAGCACCGTGAGCATATCTGAGCACCACACCTTAGGGTGGATATATTGGCCTTGGAGGGAGTACAGCTTAGATTTACAAGAATGATACTTGAACTTCAAAGGGTACATTATGAGGAACGATTATACAAATTAAGCCTGTTTTCTTTAGAATTTGAAAGGTATGATCGAAATCTTCAAGATACAAACAGGAAAAATAATGGAAGATAAAGATAAACTATTTCCACCGGCTGAGGTTTCTGGAGCTAGGGGGCATAGTCTGAGAATTAGGGCCAAACTTTCAGGAGAGATGTTAGGAAGCACTTCTGCATGCAGAGGGGGCAGGATGGCATGGTGGCTCAGTGGTTAGCACTGCTGCCTCACAGCACCAGGGACCCGGGTTTGATTCCACCCTCAGGCAGCTGTCTTTGTAGAGTTTGCACATTCTCCCTGAGTCTGTGTGGGTTTCCTCTAAGTGCTTGGATTTCCTCCCACAGTCCAAAGATGTGCAGGTTAGCTAGATTGGACAGGCTATAGTGCCCATGGATGTGCAGGCTGGGTGGATTAACCATGGGAAATGCAGAGATGGGATAGGGTAGGGTAGAGGGGTGGGATGCTTTTCAGAGGTTTGGATGGGGCAAATGGCCTGCTTCCACACTGTAGGGAATCTATGATTCGAAGGGTGGTAAAATGTTTGGAACTCTCTTCTGCCAATACCCGTGGATGATGGATCAGTTGTTAATTTTAAATCTGTGAGGGATAATTTTTTGTTAAGCAAAGATGTAAGGGGATATGGGCCAAAGGTGGGTATATGGAGTTAGACCACAGATCACCATGATGAAACACAATATAAATCCAAGGATAGCAATTAGTTATATCAAGTTTGAATTTTGAAAATAACATTTACTAGAAAACAGAAATGAGGGAAATAGTTTGAATCTTTCTGGTAGATAGGCACTTGGCCTTGGGAGATGATTCTTTTGCAAACACCTTAATCATAGAGTGTGTGTCCTTTGTGAGAAAGTGCAGCAAATACTGCTTCATCTAAAAGGTTAGGCAAATGAGAAATGATGTCGTATTACCACAATCGCATTCAGCCACTCCAAACAACTTCGGTGTAAAAATATTTTTTTCGCAAAGAGCAAAATAACCTTTTGCGGGATCTCCGAGGATTCAGGAGGGTCAGGAACCCAGGCATTCCATGACAAGGGCGGAGGCTGAATGTGAGTGAGGCTTCAGTGACGGAGCTTGGATCAAAAGTTTAAACCAAAAACAAACACCAAGCATTGTATTTTTAGTAACATGGCCTCACACACACACCAGCAAATGCTTGATGTCATGTTATTGAGGCTAGTGGGCAACCGTAAAAGGGAAGGTTTGCTTCCTTTGATAACCCTGTGAGGAACAAGCATCTACTTTGGCTCAGTCTGAAGGGATAGCTTGCCAGGGACTGTGTTTGATAATGTGACTCATTATGCAGTGTGAATGCTGCCACCCGGGAACAATGAATACAGCTTGAAAGCAACTGGTCAAAACGAGGTGATAATGTGATGCCTTCCTGTCCCTGCCCTTTCCTTGACTCTGCATCAAGTGCCCAATTAACTCCGCCAGCTTTCACAAAGCTAAGTAAACATCGCCCCGGACTGTGCCGTACTGATTTTTCAACGCAAAGTCTCCCCGGCCTTCCAGGTTCTGAGCAAGAGCCGTTCGAGGTGCAGCAAGCTGTTGGCACTTCCCCTGGCATTTACCCCTCCTGGGAGTAGGGAGTTCCTCCGAAGAGTAATTAAGCAGGAGGTCCACGGGGTGATGAGCTGCAGAGCAAGCCCGCACCATCTGAAACCCAAGCCAAACAGCGGAGGAAAAACACTGCCACAGCAGCTGTTCACAGCTGTATCCCTCACCCATCCCTGTGCACCATGAGCTACACCCAAACATGCACGTTAGGGACAAGAGTAGGCCAGTCAGGCCCTTGAGTCTGCACGCACCATGCAATAAGGTTGAATTACTCCACATTCCCCCGAATACCTTCCAGCCCTTTGCTTATCTCTGGTTCTAGATGCTCCCACAAGAGGAAACATCCTTTCCATGTCTAACTTGTCATCCTCAGAATCTTCAATGTTTCAAGGCACCCCTTACTCTTTTAAAGTCCAGTGAATACAAGCCTGGCCTGCCCAACCTTTCTTCATACGACAATCCACCGATTCCAGTTATTAGTCGAGTCTAGTGGTGGTGAAGGGGACATAAGGAGGTTGCAGGCGGCTACAGAAAGGTTGAGTGAATGTGCAAAAACCTGGTACATAGAATCCCTACAGTGTCGGGGCAGGCCATTTGACTCATTGAATCCATTCCACCCCTCCAAAGGGCAGCCCACACAGATCCAACCCCTGTAGCCCTGCATTCCCATGGGGAATCCATCCTAACCTACTCACGATGAGCAATTTAGCACAGCCAATTCAGCTAACCTGCACATCTTTGGATCGTGGGAGGAAACCCACGCACACACAGGGAGAATGTGCAAACTCTACACAGACAGTTGCCTGAGGCTGGAATCGAACCCAGATCCCTGCTGTTGTAAGGCAGCAGTGCTAACCACTGAGCCACTACACTGCCCAATCAGAAAGCCATAGAATTGTAGAAACCCTACAGTCCAAATAGAGGCCATTCAGCCCACCAAGTCTGCACGAAGGTTCCAAAGAGCATCCCAATCCCCCACCTTGTTTCCATAACCCCACATTTCCCATGGCCAACCCAGCTAGCCCACACATCCCTGGACACTACGGGACAAGTTAGCACTTGCAGTATAATGTGGTAAAATGTGAAGTTGTTCACTTTGGTAGGAAGAACAAGAAAGCAATGTATTACTTTAATGGAGAACGAGGTTTGGAAGATTTGATAGGATTAGCCTGGAGGGTCTAAACTAATGTGGCAGAGGAGGTGGAAACTAGAGCAGTAGGTCAGTAGGTATAGAGACTGGGGAAGAACTTGAGTCTAAGGCAAATGTAGCTAAAAGGAAGAGCAGTCAGGGAGAAATTGCTGATCCCAGCAGAACTAGAGGCTTCAACTGTATTTGCCACAATGCAAGAAGTATAACAGGTAAGACAGATGAGCTTAGAGCCTGGATTAATGCACACAGTTATGACGTTGTTGCTGTCACAGAGATATGGTTGAAAGAAGGACAGGATTGACACCTTAACAGTCCAGGATATTAATGTTTTAAATGAGACAGAAGAGGAAGCAAAAGAGGTGGGGGAGCTGCTTTACTGGTTGGGAAGCATATCACAGTTGGGTTGAGGGAGGACACCCTGGAGGGATCTTGAAGTAAGGCATTGTGGGTACAGCTCAGGAATAGGAAGGGTGCGGTCACAATGCTGGGATTGTCCTACAAACCTCCCAGCTGCCAGCGGGAGATAGGGGAAGAGATATGTAGTCAGATTCTGGAAAGATGTGAAAATAGAGTCATGGAGACAGCACGGAAACAGACCCTTTGGTTCAATCCATCCATGCTAATCAGATACCCTCACTTAATCTAGTCCCATTTTCCAGCATTTGGCCCATATCCCTCTAAACCCTTCCTATTCATATACCCATCCAAATGTCTTTTAAATGTTGTAATTATACCAGCCTCCACCACTTCCTCTGGCAGCTCATTCCATACACGCACCACCCTCTGTATGAAAAAGTTGCCCCTCAAGTCCCTTTTAAATCTTTCCCCTCTCACCTTAAACCTATGCCCTCTTGTTTGGAAATCCCCCACCCCGGGGAAAAGACCTTGGCTATTCATGCCCCTCATGATTTTATAAATCTCTGTAAGGTCACCCCTCAGCCTCCGAAACTCCAGAGAAAATAGCCCCAGTCTATTCATCCTCTCCCAGTAGCTCAAACTCTCCAACCCTGGCAACGTCCTTGTAAATCCTTTCTGAACCCTTTCAAGTTCCGCAATGTCCTTCCTATAGCAGAGAGACCAGAATTGCACAAAGAATTCCAAAAGTGGCCTAACCAATTTCCTGCACAGCCCCAACATGACCTCCCAACTCCTATACTCAATAAAGGGAAGCATATCAAAGCCTTCTTCACCATGCTATCTGCGACTCCACGTCCAAGGAACTCTGAACCTGCACTCCAAGGTTTCTTTGTTCAGCAACACTCCCCAGGACCTTACCACTAAGTGCATAAGTCCTGCCCTGATTTGCCTTTCCAAAATGCAGCACATTACATTTGTCTAAATTAAACTCTATCTGCCACTCCTTGGCCCACTCACCCATCTGATCCAGATCCTGTTGTACTCTGAGGTAACCTTCTTCATTGCCCATTACACCTCCAATTTTGGTGTCATATGCAAACTTACTAACCATACCTCCTATATTCACATTCAAATCATTTATACCAATAATGAAAAACAGTGGACCCAACATCAATCCTTGTGGCACATCACTGGTCACAGGCCTCCAGTCTGAAAAGCAACCCTCCATCACCGCCCTGTGCCTTCTATCTTTGAGCCAGTTCTGTATCCAAATGGCTAGTTTTCCCAGTATTCCATTTGACCTAATCTTGCTAAGCAGTCTATCATGAGGAACGTTGTCGAATGCATTACTGAAGTAACAGAAGCAAAA